TGGCTCCTGGGAATTGCTCTCCAAGAGGAGACTGAATTTCTGAGAATTTCACTAGATCTTGGTACATAGTCATGAAAATGAAATCTTTAGTCTCTCAGGATCCAGCGTGAGGATTTTTGATCCTTTCTCTTCCCTAGCAGTGAAGCCACACTGATCCTTAAAACTTCCATGGACTTTTTCACACCTTGTGCATAGTTTAAATTTTAGCATTGATTTAGGAAAAGAAAAAAGGATAAATGGTGCTTTTAACCCCTGACCAAAGAGCTGATGAAAATCCACCTTCCCCTCAAGCACCTCCCAGGTCAGTGGCACCTCATGGTGTCCCAGGTGAGGTGCTGAGCCCCTTGGATGGTCCAGAGCTGCTGGGGACATCACGGCCAGCCCCAGAGCACAGGCTGTCACCTGCAGCTCTGCCCTCAGTCCCCATGTGCAAAATCAATTTAAAAGAGGAAGTTATTCAACTACCAAAGGGGAATTTAAGGTTGAATATGCTTATCACTGACCTAAAATTAGATACCTATGAGAAGACTGCTATGGCTCTTCCAACAATGTACATTCTCCAGGAAATTCAGGATTAGGACAAAGTTTAGAAGAAATCCAAACACTCTGAGCTGTAGGAACACGTGGTTATGGCACCAAAACCACTTTCACTCTGCCCCACGTTTCCCCCATAAAACATAAATGTGGTGAGTGTGTCTGGGGACCACAGAGAACCAGGGAGAGGTGGTCACTGCAGGGCAGGCAACGGGGCCAAGGACCTTGGCTGAAGGTCACCAGAGTGCCTGAAATACCCAGCAGCAGCAAGTGACCTTTGATCTGCTTCAGGGCATCTGAAAACTTCCACAGGAATTTCTGAAAACTGGTTCTGGGGAGAGTCCCAACCCTTCCAGACTGGTAGAAAATTGTACTTCACCTCTGAGTTGTGCTCTTTCACCATCAATTTGTGCTCACACCATAGAAAAAAAAGGCTGAAAATGTGCCCAGAACGACTCAATACTTGTGAAAATCCCCACGTGGGGTGAGGAGTACTTGAGAGATGTTTTGGAGGCATGACCATGAGTTTGGCCCTGCTGAGGATGGGCTCAGAGGCTCCCACTGCCTGAGGAGTGATGGCACAGCAGAGAGCAGCAACTGAAGATTGTATACAGTGTTTTTAAATATTTTTAAATCCCATGATGAGAACCCCAAACCTTGCCCCAAACCTGTTCTGAGGCTTGTTTGCCACAGTGGCTCCCAGTGCAGAGAACTACTCAAAGTGAAGGGGGAAAGAAAGGAACACTGGCCAGGCATATGAAAATACCTAAACAATTAAAGAAGAAGGAAGAAGAAGAAGAATCTCATCCCTTGGCCACACAGCTTGTGTCTCCAAGGTGGGATTTAGGGGTGGGCTCCCAGCAGAACTGCAGTTCCAAGCTACCAAATCATGAACAGCCACTTCTCTTGACCTGGTTTTTACTCCTCAGCAGCAGTAGTTGATAACCTGCATTTCTCCTGCATTTCTCCAGTTACAATAAAAGGTCTGTCTGGATATGGGTGATCTATACATAGATCCCATGTCATACATAACATAAGGGATGTTTAAAGCAAAGAGGCTGGATGAAAACAGAACAAGGTGGCAGCAAGAAGTTCCCATGCAAAGAACCCTCTCAGACTTGATGAAAAATGTTAATATCGAAGCGACTGAGAATCTCAACAGAGGAAGATAAAAACTCCTACCAAAATCACACCTTTAGGAACAAAGGCACCTTCTGAAGTGTTTCCACGAGTGACACTAAGAGAGGTGGGCACCAAGAGTTATTTGGTCACATCAGCAGAAAGCTCAAATGCAGAAAGAGAATCTGTTAGTAACTGCTGTGGGGAGCACGGGGCCAGGACACAAACCCTGGGGGAGATAAAGAGAGGGGAGAACTCACCCTGGCAGAGCCAGGCAGGAGAGGCTGGAGCAGGCAGCTTAAAAACACCTTAAATCTGCCTTTCCTTGAATATTAGCAGCTTTCAGCCACCTAGCAGATCCTGAAGCCCAGACTCCTGCTGCTGCCTCACTCCTCCAGGGGAACATAGAGCTGGAGCTCCCAGCTCAGGCTCAGGAGAGCTCAGGGGCAGATGGTTTTGGCTGATTTTGGCAGGGATTTGAGTGGAGCAGGGTGTGGGGCAGAGCTAGTCCTGATGGGCACTCCTTAGGAGAGGTCAGCTCTGCTCCCCTGGACCCGACTCGGCACCACGGCCAGGACAAAGCTGTCTGGAAATTGTTCCTTTCCTCCTTTTTTCATTTCTTTTCCAGTGTTCAGTCAGAACTAAAATGGAGCCAAGTGGAGGTCAGGATGGTGGTTCTGCTCTGAGCTTCCTGCTGCTGCACAGAACAATTCCCACAGCCCAGGGACACGTTGGCACATCATGGAATAGGTGCTAGAGAAACCACACAGTCCTTAGAAGCAAAAGATCTCTCCCACCCCTCAAAAAATAACCCACTTAGTCCACATATTTTCTCTCTATACTGTATATATATAATATATATAGAGACACAATTTTCTGGTAAACATTTATAAGATATTGTAAAGAACATTGAAAAGATATATCTCTGTTTGCATAACAATGCACACTCACATACTGCAGTATACGAGGACACACAGGAATGGACAATCAATAAATAAATACTTTTTTTCCCCAAAAAGTTATTAAAAAAAAACCAACACTGCTATTGAGCAGCCCAAAGACACTCTCCATTAATACAGACAGCAGATATTGTGCAGAATTTCTTGGCTGTTTTTTTAAAAATAAAACACAAGGGAAAAAAAAAAACCCAGAAGCTTGAAAGGTCAAGTGTCAGCGAGGTTGCTCAGTGAGATGGTGTCAAAGCTGACCCACTGCTTTGTGTCCCTCAGGATGGGGAGGGCAGAGCCTTCCCCTGCCCCTCAGAGAGGGTGATGCAGGCAGCCTGGCACCTGACCCAGCACCCAGAGGGAACAGGAACAGCCTGCTGGGGAGGGCACGAGCTCCTCGCTCTGCTTTGGGGGAGGATGAAAGATACACCCACAAACCAGATTTGAAGCTCTGTTGCCTTTGCTTCCTGTGCTACCACGGGCCAAGAACTCTTTGGAGATTTAATGCAGAAAACTGCTTCAAAGAGTCTCCTTGATGGTTGGAACAGGGAGAACAGAAGGCTCCCCATGCCCTCCCCCCTGCAGGGTCCTGTACCCGCTGCCAACCCCTGGTTTCCTGGCTGCCACCTCCACCCAGGCCTGCAGAGAGCCTGGCTGATTCGCTCACCAGCTGCAAACTCTCTGAAGCAGCAGTTTTCTCCTCTGCAGATCTACACCTATCCTTTTTTTCCTCTGCAAGCAACACCTGACACATGCCACAAGTACACCCAAAACACGGTCGGCACAGACAGAGGCTCCACAGAGGAAGGGAAGGGCCCTGGGGAGCAGCCCCCCCCAGCAAGAGGGGAGCAGGGCCTTGTCCTGCAGAGGGGAGGAGAGCACACACACCCCACACACTGCATCGAGGGGGAACACACATTTTTGCAGCAAAACTCGAGAGGGATCATCCTTTTGAAAGCTACAACCCGGCACCTTCCCCGGGGGGCAGCGCAGGCTGCGGGCAGCCGCCCGTGGCCGTGCCAAAGCTGTGCCCAGCAGTGCCAGCCCTGCCGGCCACCTCCACCTCCCCTCTCCCCTTGGGGTGTTTACCTGAGTTGCAGAATGAGGCCCTGGGGCCCTGGCAGGACCGCAGCTGGGCTCCCAGGCTGGCCAGGCTGGGAGGCACTTTGTGCCCTGCGCCCCACGAGAGGCGGCCGCGCGAGAGCATCCTCCAAAAGCCACTTTTCCTCCTTGCAGGGGGAGAAGCCCCCAGGCCCTCCTCCTCACAGGGGAAAAAGCCCCCAGGCCCTCCTCCTCACAGGGGGAGAAGCCCACCCCCAGAGCTAACCAGAGGCTTCCAGTGCACCCAGGGGGCTCTGCAGCCCCAGAGGTGCACAGAAAACCCGCAGGCACCAGGGGGTGGCTTGCACTGTCTAGCTCTGAGCAGCTGGTTTGAGTTGGGGAGGATGAGGCAGGCACCTTCCCAGGGAATGCCAGGACAGCCACCCCAGCAGAGCTCTGACCCTCCCACCTGCCCTCCGAGGAGCCCACCCCTGCCTGGGGCTGCAGAGGAACCACAGGGAGACCAGACTCCCAACACGAGCAGCTAGAGTAAGGCAGGTAAGAAAACCTCCAGCCTGGAGTACCCAGAGGAGGTTAGGACCAGGTTTTCCCCATGTTCAGAGAGCGTTACAGAGGCTGGATTTTGAAAGAAAAACCCAGTGATGGAATTTGGAGCTCTTCTGAAAATCCATCCAACTCTTGTGTGCTCAGATTCTGTAGTAACAAACAACGTAAAAATCTCAGGGAGAGAACAGAGCTCCAAAAAATACTACAGGGGATGCCATGCATCAGGAGGTGAGATCAGAAGAGGAATTCTGTGATCAAAGTCCCTCTCTGTTACTGGCAGAGCCTCCTAATGCTCGTACTGAGTCCTGGCAGCACCTCTGCACAGCCCAGGCTCACAGGGCTGGCCGGCTGCCCCCTGCCACGGGGCAACAGCTCGCCCAGGAAGCAGCTTCATCTCCTCACCAGCCCCTACTCCCAGCCTCAGGGCCAGCAGCTCTGCCCTCCCAGAGCCCCAGCAGTGGCCTGGGCAGGGGTGGTGACCACTCACTGCCCTCCTGCTGCAGCAGGGTGAGGCAGTGACTGCCCAGCTTCCAAAGCAAGTCCTCAGCAACAAAATGCAACTGTACAGATCTTTGGTTCAGTCACTGAAGGCTGCGAAGCTCTGAGCTGGAGCCCCTGGTCCTAACACTGAACACAGCACTTGGAGAGCTAAGGGTACTGCCAGTTTAGACAGCAGCACGTGTCCCACTACCTGATTTCCACAGGCGTGGCACTTGGAGAAAAGGAGGAGGGGAGGAAGCATCGGAGGGGGGTCTGGCTCTTTGTCTGGATGCCTCATCTTCCCCACGGCCTTCATTTGTTCTCGATGAGAGTCTGGACTTTATAGACAAGGTCCCGAGCCAGCTTCAGGATCTGCTTGGTGTTGTGCCTCTCGGCCATCTCTGGAACACAGAGAGAAGGAACCCCCAGGGAGGCTAGACCCGAGCAGCCCGGGGTCTCCAGGCACCCCCCAGCCTCACAGCTCCCAGCTGAGCTCCAGGCAGGAAGCTGCAAATCCCTGCCCAAGTTCCCCAGCACCACCCCTCACAGAGACTCTAAAGAGCCACCATTGCCCAGCTCATCTCAGGATGGCTGCAGCCAGCAGGAAGCACAGCCTACACTCACAGCTCCCTTCAGGCACGGCAAGGAGGGCTGGCGCCAGGCAC